ACGCTCTCGTCTCCAACCAGTGTGGTAACTTCCGCTTTCTTCCCCGTCAGCCTCATTACATCGAGCGGCCTTTTGCGCGATTTCTCGTGTTAGCCATCGAACGCGCGGACAGCCACACGTCTAGCGGAGGGAGAGAGAGAGAAATTCCAGATATCATTGCGATCGTCCGTGTCGTGCGAGTGTGACCGCGCTCTGTGTAGTGTCGAATGTCGCGTACGTGCCGGGTTCTGTGCTATGTCGCAATCATGTCTGTGTCGTGCGATCACGTGCGGCGTTTCGCCTGTTACGCCGGGTGCTCGCCGCCCCTCTCGCTTGCCGTGCGCTTCCACCTCTCTCGCCTGCGCCCGTTCTTTCTCTCTCGCTCGCGTGTGATCGGTTCTCGCTCCGTCGCTTTTCTCTCTCGCTCGCACGCGGTCGGTCCTGTGATTCTCTCTCGCTCGCGAGCGCGTCTTATTCGCGATCTGCGTGCGTTTCATCCGCGTCCGTGTCTGTTCCGCTCCGTCCCGTCTTATTCTGCGTTTTATCCGCGTTCTGTGCAATCGTCAAAGTTCCGCGTCTCGCTCTCTGCGTTTCTCTTTCGCGTGCGCTCTGTTTTACCCGCGTCCGCGTTGCGTTTCATTCTCGTCTGCGTTGCGTTTCATACTCGTCTGCGTTGCGTCTTTTCAGTCTTCAATCAGCGTTCGGCGTGCGGCAGCCGCCCGTGATCTCTTGCGATTCGCGAGCGTTTCCGCGTGGCTACGCAGCGTGCGTTTTCAGGCGATTCGCCACTTCTTTCGCGAGTGATCGTCTCAGCATTCTTTTTCCTGATTTCTCTTTGTTTCAGCGTTTTCTAGTCTCGAATGTTCCTTCCCTTGTGGGCATTGTACGTTTCGATTTTCTTTGTCCTGTGATATTAGCTGTAAGCCGTGTAAATATCGCGTTCGCGTTTTTATTTGTCAAATAACCGAGTGTTCTAGAAATTATTATCCATTATCCGTTGAAATAAACGAGACCGAGTTAGAACTTCGAGAGACGTTGCTGGCGACGGTCGAACTTCAAATAGTGATGGTAATACTTAGTTGTCCTACAACCTTCCTGTTTCTCCGACTTTTCAAGAATCAGCCTAAATCATAGACCGGCAACGCACTGTCCACTACACGTACGTAAAACGGCAGAAAGAAACAAATCTAAAATCAGTATTCAGTAATCTAAAATTTCATATGGGAATTGTTATCAATTGTTTATCGTTTATGGATTTGTCAATCGATTATTGTTATTGTGATAAAATGTTATTTTTTTGTAGCAGACAAAATGGATTTAGATGAGAACATATTATTAGCGGACATATTTTCGTCTTAGTACAAAAATTTAAACAAAGTTGTTTTGAACAAGAAACACTGCTTCGAAAAATGTTGCTCTTGTATGCACTGTATAAAGTTGTAAGAAATGAAAGAAAAGGCAAACAATGTCAATTTTGGGTACGACCTATATTTACTGTGCATCGACGTTTCTTGCAAGGAGCTAGTGAAAATCTCGTCAAAGAGATAGAGCTTAAAGATAAAACAAAATTTCGTAATTACTTCAGAATGATTCAATTACATTGAAAAAATTACTCGAATTAATTGATCCATTAATTATTAGACCATTAATTTGTCGTTCGCGAATTAATTTTTCCTGAAACGTGTTTACACATGCTCCGCTATTTAGCTTCGGGAGATAGCATAACATCAATTTCATATGCCTTTCGTGTTGCCCACAATATTATTTCAAAAATAATAGCAGAAACTTGCAACATAATATGGAATATTTTAAAGGAGACAGTTTTTCTTGAGGACAAAGCAGAGAATTGGTAAAAAATTGCTGAAGATTTTGATCATCTTTGAAATTATCCTAACTGTATAGGTTGTATCGATGGCAAGCACGTAGAATTACAAGTATATTAAAAGATGTTTTTTATGATAAACCATAGATGGACAACATTAATTACAAATTTAAAAATATCGATTAATTACTAATTACTGTTTTAATTTGTAAATGAATTAAATTTAATTATTAATTGCTGTTGTCAAAGTAATTAAACTTTATTTCATTAATCATTTTTTTACTAATCATTTTTAAATTGTAATTGTAATTGAATCTAATGTAACTTGTAATTACATTAACTATATATTTTTACTATAGGCTCCGCCAAACAGTGAATCATCTCATTATACTACAAGGGATATCATAGCATGAATTTAATAATGATTAACGATGCTAAATATCGATTTACTATGATCGACATCGGTGCAGAAGGTCGAAATAGTGATGGAGGAGTTTTTAAAGATAGTATTATAGGCAAATGTTTTGATGAAGGTTGATTTCACCTACCTAATGCTACACCTGTAAAAACTGATGGACCTGTATTGTCGTATTACTGGCAGACGAAGCCTTCTCACTATCATCTTACATGATGAGGCCATTTCCTCGAATAAGCAATCTGGACCTCAGAAAAAAAGTTTTTAATTATAGACTTAGCAGAGCAAGACAAGTCGTAGAGAGTGCCTTCGACATTCTGGCAGCAAGGTGGCGAATTTATAAAAAGCTGATAATTGCAAGCGTTGTAACAGCAAGAAGCATAATTATGCTTCTGCAAGCAACAGTAGCACAATTTCATAATAATACAAGAAGAAATGTATTCCAGAAACATTTATGCATAAATGCTGAAGATGACAATATTCATTTTGAAGGATTAAATATATTTTCAATTTGTACAGAACAACAGAATAATAGTGGTATTGAGGTTTGAAATGCATCTGATTTTTTTATGGGTGCAGTACCTTTTCAGTGGAAAAAGGCACTGAATAATAACTTTTAATATTAATAAAATAATATAAAATACATATATTGATTTGAAATTTGCATTTTTTTATTTATAAAGCATATTTAGAAAATTTATGAAACACATATATATGTTTAAACTTAGTATAAATAATACGAAGTAACAAATTATATCACAAAAGAAATATAAATAAACCATTTGCACAAACACATTAAATTGCATTTAATTCTTGTTCTAAAGCAAAAAGTTGAGATAAGATTTTTATTTCAAATTGATGCCTCTCGTGTATTGGGAGAGCTCGTAGATGATCTATTTGAAGTAGAAATCCATTCACTGCATCCTGCTTTCTTACAGACCCATTTTCAAGAGCTGAACAAATTGCTGCTCTTACATCCTTGTCATCATCACTATTTTTCGACTCTGAAGACAATGAGTGATTCAAAAACTTTTGATCACTTTCTTTATTATAATAATGAGCATCAATAAATAATTAAAAAGATTAACTTTTTGATGTCCGTTTTTGATGGCTTGGCGAAGGCGTAAGGTCATCAATTAGCGACTGCTGACTGTCAATAGAACTTAACGGTTGAGATACAATCAGTATGGGATTTGCAGTTGTTAACTCAATGTCTTCAGTAACATCGCTCGTGCATGTTTTTTCTGATAAATTGGTAACAGTATAAACAGAAATTTCTATATAAACACAAATTAATCGAATTATTTTAGAATTTCTTTTATGGAACTATGTGCGAAATACGATGGAAAACTACGATGGAAGATTTAAATTGTTAATATTGTTTATTTACATTATTTTTTAAATTAGCATAGAAAAGTATACTTTTAAAACATACTTTTTCCGATAACTATTATAAATAACTTATGCTGACTTCTCCATCGTTAAGGAATTTCATTTGTTCGTATAAACGAAATGTTGATTTCGCATTCTTTGTGCGCAACCGATCCTTGGAATATATTCTTTAATTTTCTGTTTTGATTTCACGTAACAATCGCGAAGTTGCTTCCATTTTTTTTGCACACTATCTACATCATTTCCTGCATTAAAAAAATACAAATACTGTAATGCTTCATTGAAAATAATTTAGATTGACAAAGTCATGAATACATTTCTTTTTATTGTACCGGTCGTAGGGATTTGAGAGAATATACATATATATATGTATATTGTAATATATGTATATGTGTGTGTATTGTATTATATTGTTGACGTGTTGTTCTAAACACGTTATTGCGATAATATCATCACATGCCTCGGTAGTCGAAAGGATAAGATGCCTGCCCGGTAAGCAGGAGATCCAGGTTCGATTCTTAGCTGAGGTGGTATTTTTTCGCAAAATAATTACGAGTTTTCACGACTGGTTTGTGGTCGGGCCCCGCCGTGACGCACACCCTCTCTTCTTATATTATTGATAACTTTTATTGAACTGTATATATTTATACCAACGACACTGAACGACATTCATTATTTTTG